TAACTGTCGTACCTACATAGTTTTCAACTTATTTGCTTATTATTATTTCCCGTCGTTAGTCATGTATATATTATTTTTCAATATGACAGTTGTTCTGAATAGCAATGCCTTATTGGATAATAAAAAAAACCACAGTCATACATCGCTATATTCATATCTCTCCGAATAATAAATTCCAATGTAATTATTAATTTAATACTCTTTAAAAATAATAATAATAAAACCACTTGGTAGTTGGTACACAATGTGTATATAATTGACTAACTATACATACACGCGCACCCACATTATATTATTATTGTAAAGTAATTACTGTACCACTTATCGCAACTGGAGATTAAAATACACTAGGTACATTTTTCGGAATAATTATATAGGTGTAAGTAATGTAGATATTTAATCTACATAATTATAAAAAAAAAAATTAGAATATTCTAAACTCGGATCGAGTCGGCTTTCCGTCAATACATCGCCATCCGTTTTTTTCAATATGCACTACAGTCCTGATAAAAAGTTAAAATATTTAAGTACTGTTGTAGTCATCAGTAGGTATACGGTCATAGGCACAGCTAGATAACACGCATTACATATTTCTCACTTATTTCCTTGCGGAGGATGCAAACAAAAGCAATTATATTGCTGATAAAAAAAAATAGTTTTATGTTGGTTATACCATAAAAATAATATTATGTTGGGCGATTCTTTTATCTCGAATCGAAGGAATTATAAAAATAATTTTTTAAGATCTTTTTTTAAAAAAACATTATTTTACAGTTTCCTCGTGACCATCAGAATGTGATAATATTATAATGTCTTGTATTTTCTAAGATGTTGCCTGGACGCCTGGTTCTCTTTGCCCACTATCTTTACAAAAGACGTAGATAATAAGATTATTGCACTAGCACAATGGTTCGGAATGGAACTGAATAGACATATTTTTTCAATCGGAACCGAAACGATTTTTATTCGTAGATTACTCAAATAATTCAAAATTACAAAAACTTGGTCGCCAATGTATTTACTACAGACCCTACGTGTTTGTTTTTGGTTGCCTATCATAGTAATACCAGCTACATATTTATTTATTTAAATAGAGTAGAAACACTCAATAAACGTTTATGTTGTGTTATTGGTGTACTGTACGTTACTTCGCATCAATTTAGATCATTTGTAACAATTTTATGTTGTAACGGTAAACAATTTTCACTTTAAAGTTATTACTATCGATATAAAAATTAAATTAAATAAACATTTTTTTTTTCCATAATGACTAATGAGTGATACACACATTACAGGAATTAAACAACAGAGAGTTAAGCTATATATAGGTAGATTAGAAATTTAGAATCACTCTTGTTTTAAAAATGCACCTACTTACAAACGCTTCAGAATCCGTCAACATATTTTCTGACATTAATTTGATTCGATTCAGCTGTTACGTTCGGTCACATTTTGTTTCCGCTCGATTCCTAGTTACAACTTATTAATATGCAACATTTGTTAAAATAAAGTATGTAGGTACTCGAATGTCGAATCTAATATATTTCTCATATATTTGTATGGTCATGAAGTTAGCCTCTCCCTACCTTGGTAAAATTCCTACAGAGTTAAATGTTAATTATATACAAAGCTGCAAATTACTTTTAACGTTTGCTGATTTTCACCCTCCCCCTCGCCCATCGCCAGCAATTCGTTTTGACTCTAGGCGTACCTACGTATAAAAAAACCAAGTTGGCCGAGTCCGTTTTTCATTTATGCTTTTTCGAAGGTTTTATCTCGGGTTTTATGTAAAAATAATAAGGAGTGTCGTGTAACAAAGGTAGTCCAAGTGTTGCTCAGGCAACACCTTAAATATAGGTGGGTGGGCATTGATAGAAGAAAAATAGGACATTTTATAGGTCGGTATAACAATATTATGAGGGGTACCTGAGTTACCTAAAATTATTTGAGCAACACCAGTTTTTTTTTATGATACTTATTACGTGCGTCACTAGTACTCAGTAGATATGGGTAATTCGCAATAGCAAGAAGGAAGTAGATACTCATACATAGCTATATCATATATTTATACCCTATTATATGACCTATATAATATTATAAACCGTCATGACACCTGTATGTAATATTGTGCCCAAAAATAAATATTATTTATGATGCGTTTAATTTTGCTCGTAAAATACCCATTTAAGTTTCTTTTTCTACACGAAAACAACATAAAATATTTCACAAAAATACAGATAAATTAAAATAAGTCGTTCGGGTAGTAATATATATAAGTACTAACGTACCCTTATATATATATATAGGTTACATGTTTATAATAGGTGTGATCATATTGTATACTAGTTATTAGTATACACAGTATAAAATTAATATACCTAATGATCAATAACCAAAAGGTTTGTACCTAGGTATAATATATTTGTAATATGGGCACGCGTAATAAACATTTCGACAAATACAAGCAGAACATTATATAGGTATTATTTGAAGGCTTATTTATTTTGAACAGTTAACTCACTTTCGGTTTCTTAACGTTGTAAAATTTTATGATTATAGTAATCTAAAAAATGGTAAAACTCGTAGCGTTATAAGTATATACATTATACAATAATACAATATACGTATAACCTGCACAAAAAGACGTACAATAATAAGTCTGAAAGCATTAATATATTGAGTGTTTTAAATTTTAAACATTCATTTGACATTTACATTGGACGCTGTCACAAATATTGTTTCAGTATTATTTATTTTAATTATTTTAATTGGTTTACGAACGTTTTCGGCCATTTCATATTGTCATACTGAGATATTATATTATATTACAATAAGTGATTGATTATATAATTGACTGTGCCTACTAAATACTATAATATTTCCAGAACAACTTTTGTAGATATTATAATCACAGAATGCAGTGTAGGTTTTTCAGATTTTTGTATTGACCTATTTATCTATATTTCACTATATTATTTGTTATTTCATAATCGGAAAAGCAGAATACTTTTTTTTTTTTAATGTCGAGGTAAATATAATCTTTATCGAACATCGAAGTAATATTTTGTATTAATAAGCATTTAAAAAAGTTTAGATGCAAATATACGATGATCGGAGTAAATGGGCATGGCGTGACCCACAAAATGGTCCGTACTATAATGTATACATTATATAGTACCTTCTCGCCGCTCGTCTATATAAGCTTTAAATGCTTACTAATCAAAAACTATTTGTTTAATATCCACAATATTAATACTAAATAAGCCGACGTTCTAGGAAAAGTATGTATTCAGCTGCTTTCTTTATATTAATATTATTGTTATACAATTTAAAATAAAATTGAATTCTTTATAAAAACATAGTTAGTGTACACCTGTATTAATTATTATTTATTTAATACAAAAACGTTTTCTTTAAATGCACACAACTTGACCACGTATGGCCGTATGGGTATATGTATTTGAATGTCATTTTCGAAAACCGTGTACGTTACTTAATAGTTGTCTAGTTGTTAAGTTTATTGTTTGAATAGAAAATAATATTAATAATATAAATCGCGAGGTAGGTACAATTCACCATAAATATAATGATATATAGGTAGACCTATATAAACGTATACAGGGGTATTCAAATTTTGAACTCAAGGTACATCATGTTCAAAGAAATTATCCACTAAATAATTCACAAGTCAAAAGGGGGGTTCTCATTTGTAAAACAGGAAGTTGTATCGATACAAAACAAATAGTACAAAAAGTTCAAGAATTAAAAAAATTGTCATTGAGTAAATTCAAAAATTCCGAAAACCAGAATTTATTATTAAAGGAAAAATGTGGGGGGGGGTGAGCATACTTGGGGAGTCCCCTGTACATAACATTGCACGAACAGTGTGAAAATTAGGATTTTGACAATGTTCCTACAACGAATTATGGACCTTAGGAAAATAATAATAATAATAATGATGAAAAAAAAAGTCAAAAGAAATGATATATCCCCATCGCACACCCATAAATAAGCCACTGCTTCCGTGTTAATATCGATTTTATTATTTAATACTGTCCTCTTCGCACATAACGATAAGTAGTTCAATTGAATTTTAGTTTTTACTCGCATAAATAGTCGCATACGCCATAAACTCATAACAGGCATTATATAACCATAATAATATAATATAACGTTAAAGTATATTGCACTGTGTTCAGATTAAATATTTAAATGTATTATCTAATCAAACGTTAATTAATATTGTTTTCGACAAATTAAATTTAAAATGGGAAATTTTTTGCCCTAGAGTCTAAAGATACCATCACGTCATGACTCATGATGTTTGTGTAGTGATAAAAAAATAAAATGTGTCTGCAGTATAATATCATAATAATTTTTACTGTGCCTAGTGCCTACCTACCTGGTATAGGTACCTGTTTTTTTCTGATTTAATTTCGCACATCAGTGAAAGAGATTAAAACAATATGTTCCTCTTCTTACAATTTTAATTGCACACACAAATGCATTGTCATCTATAAATCTATAGCCATTAGCCATAACAAAATTATTTATTTTTTATATATGTACATCAATACATAATAATAAATTTCCATGTGTACAGACTCACTTTTATAGTAATCGTGGAAACAAAGTTGTTTCAATTTATGAAAGAAGGAAATAATTACCATACCCTAACTCGGGTTGTTGTAAAACTCGTCAATTGTCACTTTATCATGCAGCGCAATGAGTTGCAATATTTCCATAATTTAAATTGTAAAAAAATTGTTATAGGCACCTACTTTTATATTATAAGATCAATGGTATTATACAAAAAACCACGAAAGCATCGGTCATTGACTTAAATAAATATACCGATCAGTCGTATATAATATTGTTTAAAATGTTTAAATGCACCGTCTCTTGTAATTGAACAATTAGGTCCTATTAGATTTTATTATACCTTCGTATTAGCTACATATGTTTTAAGAATTTGGTATATCAATACAACTCTAAAGTAATAATCAAATCAACAAATTAATTATTTATTATGTTAACATGTTATGCTCAAGTTAAGTGACTTGCAAGTCTTCGAGCTAACCTAGCGCTAAGTTGTTTTTTTACTTTAAGTTTTAATATTTTAATTTATATAACAACAGGTCACAGGTAAAGTTCAAATTCAGCAATATAAAGTAATACAAATAACAAAAAAAAAAATTATAATAGTAATAGCTAACTTGCTTGTTCAGTATATTTTATAATGAAAAAAAAAACTGGAATAAAATTGTATGTTCATTATTCTTCATCTGAATCTGCTTTGGCAATACCACTTTCTATCCATTCATCATTTAAGTATTTATCTGATACAGTATCTGTAAGTTTGATTTTGACACTTGCAGATTTATTTTGTTGATCGATAGAAACAACATAAATTGTACATTTTTTATCTATAATTTTCAAAAGCTCATCTTCGTTAATATAATCTATTCCATGTAAATTGCAAGTTAATGACTGTGCTGGTAATTGGGTAAACTGTTTATGTAGTAACCTGATGTCCTCAAATGGAATAGTGTCCATTGAACCATTGTCAATATTCATCATTTTTATTACACTCAAGTTGATATCAGTGACAAAACCTCTGAACCAACAATCATCAAAAAAATATGCATATGTATGTCTCACCATGGTTACAGTTGGATCAAATAACAACTCTGATTCATGCATAAAATAGAAATTTTTCATATCAACTAATAACTTCTGTAACAAATGATATTGATCAATGCTTTGACATATTATAGTTGGTATAATATTTGTATTGACTGCACAAACATTGACATTTAATGAATTATTGATTTTCAATTCGAAATGTTGAATTTCTTGCTCCAAAAAACAATTGTTTAATGATGTTAGTAAATACTGATCATTTCTTAGGAATTTTTTTAATACTCCGTTATTTTCATTAGGTTCGTCATTATACTTTTCTTTTTCATTAGTAGAAAAAGATCCAGACCTATTTGCTTCTTCTAAGCATTCTTCTTTCTTCATATTTTTATAAACATCACAAGTATGTTTTACTGATGAAATTATTTCTACTCCATTCGTTGTGAAATGAACACAGCACAATTCTGGTAGTTTTGAAAACATTTGACTAACTCTGCCAAAACCCCATCTTCTATAATGAGTAAAACCAGAACCAAATTTGTCAATGTATAAACTACACATTTGTCCATCAGATATCCAATCAGGTACTTCATTTAATAGTTGTTCAATATTAGTTTTAATTGTATCTTCTAAAATATAAAACAATGGATATTCCAGTCCATTGGAAATTTGTTGATCTTCATATTTATTTTCCAATGAATACTCATCAATGTTACATATATCCATAGCTGTATATTTATCTTCCGTCTCAATTACTTCTTTCAATCTGTTGACTAATTTTGGTTGCAAACTTATCATTTCTTCTCCCCTTCTTAAAAATATATGCTCCAAATTGAACAATAGTATATCCACACAGTTGATGTAAGACTGAAATATTGGAATACACAAAACATCAGATTCAAAAACACTTATTGATAATCCTTCTGGATATAATTCATAAAAAATTCTGATAAATGCACATTGTGTTCTGTATGGTATCAATAAATCGTTTTGACAAATTTTACTTTTGGGCGGCCTTATTATATTTGTAGAGACTAATAGTTCCATATGCCTGCTCAATTTTGAACTTATTAAATTGACAATGGAGTTGGTATCTTCTGGATCTTCTAACTGAACAACATCTGGGATACTTTTAAGGAAATCAAAAGGGGTATCGTAACCAAACAATTTCAACTGTAGTTGTTGTGGTCCTCCGAATACGTAAATTGTTCTTTTCCATAATTCTTCGACTGTTAAGCAGTTCTTGCACGCAACTAAAACGGAACGGACAACAATTTTTAACTCCATAAGACTCTGGCAAACCATTTTGACTAGTTTACGATTTTTAAGACTAAAATTAGATATCATATGAAGTGTAACATTTTATATTATGCTATTGATTTCAAATCATACAATTGCTCTAAACTTCGAATCACATTCCATAGCAATTGAAGTCATGCACCGATGAACTGAATAATAAAATTGGAAGTGTGAAACGCTCACCGATAATCTGCTATGGCCGATGAGTATAATATACTATAAACCAATGACTACAATGTATTATAAACTGAATGTAAATAATGTATACAAAACTGAAAAAGAAGTGTAATAGAAATTACTGAAATATTTGTCGGAATGATATTCAAGATTCTAATTTCAAATTTAAATGCTTACAACACGGTACATTATCACAAAACACATTGCTTACATATCAGAGGCTAATGATAGTGAAACATAGATAACAAAAAATAAACGTATAAACATGCATACCAACACAAGAGTACGAATATAATGGCGGGCACAGCATATAAATTAAAATATGATTATGATAGTAATTATGATTACAAAAAAAATTTTGTTAAACCGCTTAAATGAAAAAAATGAGAAATTTATCCACTAAGTACGGTCGCAACTTTCGGTCTGCGTGACTATTCCATAAGGCATAAAAGCCATAGTCATATTTTTTAAAATAAAATAAAAAAATTTTAACTTTTGTCCTACTCGGCCCGAGAAATTTTTTAGGTTTTGTATGCATGTAAACATATTTTCATCCATAAAAATCAAATACGTTTTTGGTTACATGTATTTGAAGTTTAAACAAGTAGACGAACATTTTTCGAGGTACACTGCTGTTCCACACCAAATACCAGTACTCCACTCTATCCATCTAAACTTTAAATACTATTACAACTTCTAAACAACTAATCTAAAATTCGATTTTTACGTGTGCTGAAGCACTTCAACAAATCTTCTGCTTTGGAATAAGAAATTAAAAATGCATGTTGTCATTAAAAAAAAGTAAAAACTTGAAAAATGATTACTATCAAAATAGTAAAAAAAAAGTTTAGAAAAATGTCGTTTTGATCAACTTAAAATAATGTGCAAAAAATATTTTTTTAAATGTTAATAGTTTTTAAATTAATTAGTGTAACTTTAAGTGGATCACCCGGTATAGGTATAGCTGGTATAGGTTATTAACAAATAAAACGTTCAGAAGACGTATTAATGCCCGTATAAAAACAGTTAACATTTTATTGTTGTACTTATTTAAGTTTGCAAAAGTCTCGTCTCAATAACAAAAAAAAAAATTATAACATATTTACATAAATAAATGAAAGTACCTAACGGCTATGACCTGAATATAAAAGCTGTAATTTATGTAATGCAAAAATAGTGAAAAATCCATTCGTTCGACACATTATTATGATTTGTTTAGTTACGATGATTGTATAATGCCAAATCAGTATTATTGTAATAACGTTAGTACAAAATAAAGAGAGCTCATTGTATAAAAATAAACGAACAACCATTGATTACATTAAAACTAAAACATAAACAATTATTGAATTATCTCTGTATCAGCGTATTCTTTTGTTTATACCTAAATCCAATTAAAATGTATACAACAATTTTGAGACCGACCACGAGTGATGGTAGGTACCTATGCATATATATTATTATAATTCACCGATTCCTTTTACAATTAATTTTATTCATAGGTGCCTCTGGACATTTATTTTTTAATTAAATTGTGCACAAATTCACAATATACACAAATTACATTTCTAAATACGTAATCTGTATTCTATAATCTACTTAGGTACCATAGTCTGCATGCTATGACTAAAACAGTTCATCTTTACTATTAAATAACGAATATATTTTTATTATAATTGTCTATCCTGCTATATTTTAAAATGTAAAGGACATGTCACAATACATATTTGCCCCTCCCCTTACTGTATTTACCTACTGTTTAGTGTACAATAGTATTGATATTATTTAGTGTAATACTATAAATTATAATAGGATTTTTACCTTTTAACACACAATCATAAGGAAATAGTTACCAACACTCGTAGCTATTGTAAAACGTTTAATATTGTAAAATAAACGAAAAAAGGCTACACACTTCGCAATGAGGGAAAGCAAGGTCACCCGCAGACAAAAAATGTTCGAGGGGGCGTGTTATCAATATAATAGTAATATGTAACTAGTAGCTACCATATGCAAATGCAAAACATATTATACAAATGTTTACAACCGCCTAAAAATATACAAAATAGTATTAATTTAATATGGTCTTATAATATCGTGTTGTCTACGCAACATTACAATACCATCTAGACGGCCTTCTCCGGCCCTCGCCAACTTCACCTTATCAAACTTTTACCAGCGGCGTTCGAGAGAAGGTCTATAATTATAGTCACTTGAAACGCAAACGTTTTAGTCGTTTTACTGTTTTAATTTCACTACATTATATTATATTTTTAGTCACTCGTCACCCGTCACCCGTCAGAGCAGTTCGGACTTGTTTTTAACGGTTATATTTTGTTCAAAAACAGAAACACGACGACTCGTTACTATTTTTTTTTTTTGTTTACTAGCGTTCGGTACGTACTTACATGTCGTGAAAAGTGAAAACCTTCGTTAAGTGTCGTAACAGTTTGTCCTATTTCTAAAGGCCCATACTCAAACCGTTTATACATAAGTTGTGATTGTTGTGAATACCTACCTACTTCGTGCAGGGCCCTCTGCGGACTCATAACATTTAGGTACGTACCTATATCGGCAATCGGCTTGTAGCAACCTTACTCAATGATTTTTAATTTTATAGTTTTGTAGAATATTTTGACCGGCCGTGGTTGCACGCTTCAAGTATAATTGTAAATTGTAATGTGTGATATGAAGCGTTTATTTAGGAAAGTGGTTAAGAAACATTTTTGTAAGATCGCGGTTTTTAAAATATGTTATACGTATTAATGTGCATATGATTTGGTAAGGATATGTGTATATGTGTATTTTTAACATATTATTTTGTGTCTCGGAGGGTTATTACTCGAAATGGATACACATTATCAATTTATAATAAGTGTATTGGCTTGGAATATTATGGTGAAGTTTACTATTCAGAAACTTATCAGAAACTTTTATAAACGCATTTAGCTTCTTAGTTCTTCGTGTGAGGTGTGAAATGTACTGATTTTTTAACGACCGACATTATTATTCAGAGATATTTTTGAAGTGCATTATTCGATAAAAAAAGGGAGGAGCATAACATGTCATAAATCATAATAGCAGTACCAAATTAAACAGTTAATTTTCTAAGGTCAGTATTTTGAAATGCCTGAATAAATTGAATTCGAGTTAGTGTACTGCAATTATAAAGCTGGTTAGGTTAACAACTAAATCCTCAATACATCCAATCGATCAGACAGAGTTTACCTTTTAAAAGGAGTTCGGGAAATATAAAATATTAAATGTCAAAAATGTTTAGACATTTTTAATTGATTGCAACGTTACAATACGCTTAGCTTCGTTTGAAAACTGTTTTTGATATTTCATATTGCCACATTAAAAAGTTCTATTTTAGTATAACAATATTGAATATTATATTATATTATACTAAAATAAACTTACCACGGAATTTCGGTCGCCCTTGTTAAAGAATTGAGAGTGATATAGTATATGGTCGTATGCCTAATATAGAATATATAGATTATAGGGTGTTTATTTCGAGATTTCTTTTAATTTTCAAAACATCAAAATCATAACAAAAAATAATATTAAATAATAGATGATCTAAAATAAGCAATTATTATAGATGCTTCGATGGACCGGGCACAATGATTATAGGTCTGAATGTTTCAGTCCCGAGTACCAGCTGCAGTTGTTTATTTATTACTGTTATAATATTATATAACGCTCGATTATCCGTAAATATCGCACACCCAGTGATTGATTTAGAGCAGGAATGTAAATTTGCCACCTCCTCCCCCCCTACTTCGACATCCTCATGATGGTTTCGTCGCGTCGCGTAAATTTAAAATTATATAAAAGTTAAAACGATAAAAAAAAACACTAAAACCGTTTCGGGATAGACGTCCAAAATCAACCAAGGTCGGGTTTGTCATATACGCGTACACGTCACAGTCGTAATGTATACATTCAATAATGTTGCTATATTAAATGAATATTTATAACTGCAGTGCTTGAAAATTCGACGACGAAAAAAATAGTAGGTAGGTACTAGACTCTGATGACATAATTAATTATTCAAAATTGAGTTCCTATACTCGCACATTATATTGTTATTAGGTACCCGCAAATGGCCGCTAGACGAAAAAGCGTTTTCAGTTTTTAGAAAAACAAAAATCCTCAGACCTCAGTATAAAAAGTAATCCTTTTTCATAGGTGCTTTCTGAATGATGTAGTCAATTATTTTATTGATGGCATAAAATATTCAAGAAAAACACATATATTATTATCATATTATAAGATAAATTACATCATTATTTTTATAATTTATTTTCTTTATAAATTATATTCAATTAGATTTAGTGTGCAAGTTGCCAGTGTACAACAATGTATATGGTAAATTCATATATTTTAATATTATAATATTTATTATAGTTTACGTATTTGTTTTATTTTTTGTTACATTGAATGATTCATGTCTAAAATTGTTTACTCAGGTATTATTTATATATACATTTTTTTGTACGGGAAATACGTTTTTACTAACATTCTACTATCATACAAATCGCATAATACTATCCAACAGAAATTACATCCAATTATTTTTAACAATGTTTTTAAATGTTATTAATAATAAATAATAATAACTTATTATACTTATTTGGGTTAGGTTAATTACCCCATAACTCCAGTCTCCAATTTAAGAATGCCTTCAATCTTCATTCAAAGAATTTCACTACCCTAATAAACAGAAAAATTGTTTACATACTGTATTATTCTAAGAACCTAAGGGCTAAACGAAATGGTAAAATATTTAAAATTCATTTATTTTTTACACAAGAGTCAAAATTAAATTTTAAAGAGACAGGAATTTTTCTAGTAATTATAATTATCTTAAATAAATTATATGAAGATTTCACTTTTATTGATATTGTCGAAAACGATGTCCGGACCGTTTTATGTGAACCGCATTACTAATTTTAAGCATAGATATTTTTTGTCAAATATTTTGTTTTTACTTGATTGTCATTGACTTTTAAATTTTGATCACTTTCATAACAAATTATGTGATCAATATCGAAGAAACATAGCGCATAAGACATTAAGACATAACACATCATCAGTCATCACGTTGGTAGCCGATAGGCTATATACCTATATTCATTTTAGGCTAAGTATTTGGCATTTCGGCTACACAAGTTCTATGTGACCATAAGTATAATATATAATTTAGTTAGCAATCACAATACATAGGTAATAATATATTATATTTTGTTTTTTATACCTACTCTTGATGAGCTTTCAATTTTTTTCTTTTTTTACAGCTTAATCAAATATGATGTGTTAGTAATCTAACTATAGACATTTTAATTATTAAATAATTGACCATCCACGCCCCCTCTCAAAAAAAAAAAAACAATCATAATATGCCATTGCGGGGGAACGTTTTCGATCATCATGTCACTGGATGTTTATTTACTGGTTTACAGTATATAAAATATAAATCCAGTGTTATGTTATTATTATAATAAATTCTTGTGAAAGTTCAACACGAATAATATAACAATTCATGTTATTAATAACAATAATGTTAACACTTAAATATTTAATCTAAAGTTAATAATAATGACATTTTGAGTGTAGCGGCCGAGAATAATATAAATTTATTATTGTTTTTACGGTCCCTGCCCAGTTGCCCGTCCGCACGGTTAAAATTAAATTTTCATCTAAAAGACCGTTCGGTGAATATCGTTATCAACAGATGTTAACATCAGATTCACAGATTGCTCATTTTTCGCGTTATCAGTTAGTGAGATAATATAATCTCTTGGGGACCCAGCCGGCGGTGGAAACTGGAAAACGAAACGAACATGAGTTTTTCCGGTTCACGACGTCGCGTTTTTACGAAAAATTTAATAAAAATAATAATAACAAACGTTCCGCAATATAATAACTAATAAGTTATAACAATACCACTCGTTAAGATTTTAGAAGCGGTCCTCAGTGCTGTAGCCTCACCGGTCGTCGCCGAATCTTGTCGACGAAGACCGACTCCTACTCCTCTCCTCGGCTGCCTCAGCCGTTTCGACAATATCGAATAATATTAAATTATGATGTCATCGCCGCCGTCATCGTTTTAAGTGTTACCTCTGCTGTTTTGACGTTCTGTACAGTTATTCATTGTTCGCGTTAGTGTGGCGTAGACGGCCGGACGCCTATTCCTACTGTCGTGCTGTCAACCTTTTGACGTTTTCCTTTCTCTCGACTCCATTCCGCAACAATGGCGGATCGCCAGGGAGAAGAGCTGCGGTTACGCGACGTCGACAATGACTCGTCTGCATTGGTAGCGGAGGCGGCGGACGGTGAGCTGGACAAACCGACCGTCCGGCAGACCGTTTGGCGGGTGACCAAAGGTATGGTACCTGTGGTCACCATCTACGCTCTTGGCTTTTGGCGCGTGGCGTCCGTCAGCGCCTGGGTGCTGGTGCCATTCTTCTTCTGCTTGTCGGTCGTCCGCGATCTCTTGCGAGACGCTGGCCGGGCTAAGCGCCGGCGTGCTCAGCTGGCCGCTGCTGCCGACGAGAAGGACCTGATCACCGCCAACGTTGCTGAGCTACCATCCTGGGTGTTCTTCCCGGACATCCACCGTGCCGAATGGCTCAATCAGGTAAGTCATCTGTCCTTGACGCCGATACACACCCGTGACTGGAATATTATGGTCAGTGCACCGGTGTTTGCTGATTGCTTAGGTATGTTCCGTTTCAGATTATCAAGCAGATGTGGCCGTTGATTAGTGTATATGCTCAGAGTACCATAAAAAACACCGTGGAACCGATGGTTGTCGAGAGCCTACGTGAATACAAAATCAACAATTTTGCGTTTGACAAGTTACGACTGGGATCAATAGTGAGTACCATCTAACTACACACCTAAAATTTGGTGTTGTCAGTTGAAAATGATGACATTTCACATAAGGTGCACTATTTAAAATAAACTCTTTTTTTTAAGCCACCCAAAATTGGAGGTGTCAAAGTGTATGATAAAGTGTCACGCGATCAAATAATGTTGGACATTGACGTTATGTGAGTAGTGTCATCAATAACTATTTTACCTGTATAATATTTTACACCCAATAATTTAATTAAACTCTGTATTGTTAACATTTTATAGTTTTGCTAGTGATAGTGACATTTCGTTCTATGTAAGCGGAGTTCCTTGCGGTATCAAAGACTTTCAAGTAATGACGACTAGTTTTTAAGTTTTAGAACAAATTTTAATAACACTAGAAATGTCAACAAACAGATTCGTGGTATGATGAGAGTGGTTATGAAACCATTGCTTACTACTTCACCTCTGGTAGGTGGATTGCAGATATTTTTCCTAAATCAACCAGACATTGATTACGATCTGATGGGTGTTGCTGATGTTCTGGATATGCCCGGCCTCAAGTAATTGCGGTACATCATAATATAAAATATTACGTTAATGTCAACATAATTTTTGTAATAGTGATGTATTAAAAAAAGTTATCGCTCAACAAGTAGCTGCTACAATGGTTTTACCAAACAAATTGCCTATAGTATTGAGTAATGAAATAGCTGCACATGTAGTTAAGTTACCTGAGCCAGAGGTTAGTATCAGATAGAACATCATTACATTTTCTAGCCAGTTCTAAGTCATTTTATTCAATATTAACTATTTATGTTGTAGGGTGTCCTACGTGTACACATCTTCCAAGCTAAAAATTTGGTGGCCAAAGACATGAGCTTGATAAGAAAAGGTAAATCGGATCCATACGTCATTGTGACGTTAGGTGCACAACAATACAAAACTCATACAATTAACAATGAACTGAATCCTAAATGGGATTATTGGTGCGAGGTAATGAATATTATTTTATGAATCCAAATATTTTACATTTCTAATACTGTATAATTAATGTCAATGTGTAGTTTGCATCATTCTCTCCCAGAGGACAGGTGTTGAAACTCAAACTTTATGATGAAGACGAAATGGTGGGCAAAAAACATTCAAATCTAGGAAGGTGAAACACCATTTTAAAATAATTAATATAATTTTTATATTTTTATTCATTTTTATTGTGAAGAGCTTCAATACAAATTGGCAATGTTGCTAAAAATGGCTATTTTGATAAGGTAAAACAATTTGAAATCTCAACTACTATTGCCTATTATTATTATATTTTTTTTTGTACAATTTTTTAAAACAATTGTTTATTTATAGTGGATCAACTTAGAGGACACTAAACATGGCATGATACATGTGCGTATGCTTTGGTTGGACTTGACTTTGGAACAAAGTGCACTAAAGAGGGTAATAGAAAAGTGAAATCACTTATCGCTTTCATAGTGTATCTAATATTGTACTGTGCAGGCCCTTACTGAAACTCAAGAACTGAGAATAACAAACCTGAGTTCAGCTGTGGTGATGGTGTACATAGACTCGGCCATCAATTTACCAGTGTGTACTCCAATAAAATTTTGTTCTAAAAATTAAATTATATCATATCATTAATGTTGGTGTGTTATAGAACGCTCGGGCCCAAAGCAAACCAGATCCATTGGTACGAGTAACAGTTGGTCAAACTACTCAAACAACTGTAGGAAAGTTACGCACTGAACGTCCTGTCTATGAACAAGGATTCACGTTTTTGGTGAGCAACCCCGAAACTGACACCATTGAATTCAAGGTATTTAAATTTTTTTATTCTTGACTTATAAGACACCTTAACTGTATTTTTTTTTGTATTTAGGTTATAGATCAAAAGACTAACATTCAATTGGGATTGTATGTATACGAATTGTCTGCACTACTACTCGCCCAAAATATGAGAGTTGATACTCAACCTTATGATCTGATAATTGACAGCAAGAACCAACAGCATGACAGCAAATTATTGTTTTGTTTGCAGCTCAAAGTATGTTTGTTTATTTAGACTGTAATTTAATACAGTGTTAAACTCAGAATTGAGTTTTGGATTTTCAACTCTTATCTCCTCCCCTCCCCCCTCGTTTGACTTTTTCATAAAAAGTAAGAATATTGAAAAAAAAACCATATTTTAACCTCCATTTGTGCACAGATTTAATATTTGGGCAGGTGTGAGTATGATTACTTATTTTCAATTATGTTTAGTTTTTGAAAAAATTGCCAGTATTGGTTGATGTTAATGACGACACATCTACAGTAACAAAACCACTATCGAGACAGACTTCTGTACAGTCGACAAAATCTGTCAACAGTGTTATAACGTCAGCAGACGTGTCTGAGATTCAGTCTTCTGCTGTTGGAGTCACCTCGCCCACTGATGGTATGAGTAGGACTTCGTCGATTAAAAGAGATTCAACGGTATCCCGAAGTTCACATGCTGGTGGCGGTGATCAAGAACCACTCATTGAGCAAGTCGAAACTACAGAATTGCTATCTGAACCGTAGGGATCATTTCTTGTTAACTTGTATTTATTATCCTATGTTGTGATATTTTATTTAATAATTTTTTTTAATCAAATAGAGAAGAACCAGCTCCCGGCACAGGTGTTTTAGGCAGCATACAACTTACATTGACGTTCAGCGTGGCCAGGCAACGTCTCAATGTTACTGTACATAAAGTTGTGTAAGAATACCATCATGATTATTTCATTAGTGTTGGCACTGTATGCACAATAATTATTAATGGTCTTGTGTACTTTGCTTATTTTTAGTAACTTACCAATCAAAGAAGCTTCAGACATCCCTGATCCTTATGTCAAGTTGTATGTGCTACCCAAGAAAGACAATAGTAACACCAAACGAAAAACCGAAGTAAGACTATTGCAGAAAGGAGGATATGAGAAACTTCATTGTTATGTTCTAATAAATAATATGCACTAATATTTTTCAATGTGTAGACGTACAAGGACAACTGCAATCCAGTGTACGAAGAAACGTTTGAGTACATCATGGGAGTGGCGGAGTTGAACAGCAAGCAGCTGGAGGTAACTGTCCTGACTAAGAAGACGTGGCACAGTCCCGTGTTGGGTCAGATAGTGTTGAACATTAGCGACTACGTCAACATAAACACCCCCAGTTTTACGGGTTGGTTTGATTTAGAAACTGAAATCAAAGAAGGCACAGTTTGATAATTCTGTTACATAGGGCTTTAAACATAATATTATCATTAAATTTACGAACGGCGTACATTTATTATTTTAATACATTATGGTGCTTAAATATTATGATTTTCCTTAAGGCCGCATAATATGAATTTTTTTGATTTTTTACACTTTTAGTCACATTGTTTCATTTATTTATTTTTTATTTTTATCCATTTTGCATTGTTGAATTTTTTTACCATTATTTGTATGTATACATAATATTTTTTTTACAACTGTTGTTTAATATGTTTTTCTTATGTACTTTCCTAACTTAATTCGAAAACAATTCCGTCTATGCAAAGTATTATTCGTTGGAAACCCATTGATTCATACTTATATTAACAATTTTGTTGAACAAATTAAATAGTACCAAGCTTTTTAGTTATTAATATAATGTTTTAATTTCTTACACATTAATTTGTATCATAATAGAATACTGTTTTATAGTGTCATATTTTTATTGAGAAATAGATTAATTTTATTTTCAATTTTTATTAGTTTTATATATTGTATTTGTATCTTAACGTCAAATATGTTGAATTTTTTGCTAAGTTTCATCTTACAAACTTGTTGGATACAATATGTAGTTCAATAAATACGATCGTAGGTGTAAATTAGGCTAATCAATTAACGCTTATTGACATAATTTATTATACTTACGAGGTCAAGTTAAGAAATACTTTGGGAGCTTCGAGAGTTTTTAGGGAGGATAAGCCTCCCGAATTTACACCTATGATTACACGACTTGCCAGGGCGTAGTCACAATTTAGTGCATTAGTGTATTGAAAAAAAACAAAGGACAAACAGCGCACTATTCAATATTTTCCACTTTGAAGAAAATTTATGAATCCGTTACAACAGATGTAACCATAATTTGTATTTAAGTATACCTAATGGGAATTGGTAATTTTTAAATTGTATTCGTTTCTATGGTAATTTCTATGAATACACAAAATTGGTTAAAAAAATACAAATATAGTCCAAAAGCCATGCTTATGTTAAAAAAATGTTTATTGTAAAGTGAAGACAATTATTGTAATTAATGAGTATGAAGCTGGTTTTCATAATTTTATACTTATTGATCTTATGCAAAGCAGAGGGAGTACCTATACAATAAGGACAATATTCATAAATTACAACAATTTGTAGAGAAAAAATGATTTGCGTATAAGACCATATTTTATGTTAATTTATTGTTTATAAAAGAAAAACATTGTGGTTTGTTTCTTGAGTGGGCATTTATTTTTTGTTGTAGAAAAATGAACAAAACAGTTTACTATAAAATTGAAATGTATTAATATTGACGCAGTTTTAATGATTTTAGAGTTTCTCATCTGTTACAATTCAACATTTTTTACGTATATCAAGAAAAAAGGTTTTCAATTTAAACGTATTATACAACTGATAAATTATTAATTGTTTAGCATGAATACCTTAATATTAACGAGTACCAATTGTTTTGAAGTTACTGTTTAACACTTCGATATCTGAAGATACAGGTGTGTGTGCGCAGAGGCACTTCACACGAAGACACGCTAGAAGGAATTTCTATCATAAAAATGCATATGTGTAATTTTAGCAGAGATGTTTTTAAGCAATACTACTATTTCCACAGCGAAACAATTGTATACAAATATTTGACTATATCCTACAACTTGGGAACCAAAAGATCCACCTCAGGACAGGGCTATCACACATCCGGTTTCCTCAAAGATTGCAATTAATTTTGGCTTTTACGTAGATTCCAATAATTATTATTTGTATGTAGAGTAAGTATACCTACTCTATTTTGTTTTTTTAATTTGTGAACATTGATAGTGACTTAATTCATGAAAAATAATAACCACAAAAATTAATATCAGTAACGTTCAGATATTTTATTATATGGCTCTAATGTAGAGTTAGTATGCAAAGTAGCAAAAACTCATGATAAATGTTAATTTAAAAAAACATTAAGAACAATCATTTTTGAAATGAGGTTATATTAAGTAAACCTATTGAAACATCTCGTCCAAAATGTATAAAAGTCCATCATTGTGCACAGTATTGATTCAGTCTGCAATGCTTCACCCATCCCTAAATCTTTACCAGATATTATTTAAATTTGTTTCCAAAACAACTCAAGAACACAATTGGAACAATTATCAATCAAAACAAAACCAATTTAAACTTTTCCTAGTTGATTTGATACGTAAAGCCTTATTATTTCTTCTTTAAATAAAAATATTTTCTATCGAATACATAATTTTTTTTTCTATGCGTGACCTAATTCTACGCTCTTTAATAGACTAAAAATATAGACACATACTCAACTAATGACCAAATAAAATTAGTTGTCAGTATATTTTCTTTTATTAAAAATACAATGTACAGAGCAAGAGGAATGATTAAAAAGATTAATCTTCTTCTTCTTCGGCAGCATTGCCATCGTCCTTGGCAGTCTTGGCCTTCCTCAAGTTCTTCCTCTTTACACGTCCTGGACGGCCACCACCGAATGGTGATTTCAGAGAGAAGTCAATGTGTTTCTGAGAGTCCAAACGAACGATGAATGATGGTACATTTACTACTTGCTTGCGCACACTGTAAAATGAAAAGTGAAATTGATCAACTAATCCTGAACAAATAGTGAAGTTATAGAAAGTTTCACAATTTTAAGTATCAGAAGACTTGTATTAAATTATAAGCAACTCACATTTTTGGCCTTAGAAACATGGATTTATCAAAGGGACCAAAACATAACCACAACATTTACAGTTGTTTTACAGACGTTAAAATGGCATTATAAATAATGAACATTTTAAGTGGCCTGATAAAAATTTAAATTGTACTCTTTGCCAACATTGAGAGGCAGTTGGTTTTCATCTAATTAGGAAAACAATTTGACTATTAGCCTTGTACGTAAAAGAATCTTTGTATAAATTTAGTATTTATACCTAACACACCATTGCAACATGTACCAAATTACTAATTAAGTTGTTACTTTGTCATGAAAAAGACAGAAAATAGTAATTCTGACCTTTGATTAACCAAAGTCTATTTATTTAGCCCATTGTGATTAGGATTACTTAAATTATATTATGAATATCCTTGCCCAAGAACAAATGGCTGTTATACATTAAAAATAAGGTAGAAAAAAACCATAACAGATATACAGAGTATTAAGTATTAAACTGTCACTTTGTCATGAAAAAGACAGAAGATATACATCCCGACCTTTGATTAACCAAAGTATAATGATATTGCCTTATCATGATTAAGATTTGCTCGTATAAAATTAAAGAACATCCTTGCCCAAGAATAATAGGCTTAAATTACACTATTCAAGTTAATAATATTGTAGCATTGTCATGAAAAAGATCAGAAAACATTTATCTGAACTTGGATTAACACAGTGCAAATACTTTAGCCCAATTGTGATTAGGATTATCTTGGTAGAATAAACCAGCATCCTTGCCCAAAACAATTGGCATACGCTTAAAAAATCAAAATACATACCGAATATGTCTTTGACGGATCAAAACTCGTGCATGATGAATGGATTTGGCTAATCCCAATTTGAACACCTAAAATTATATTCATTTATCTTAAATAAAAAGCATTATTGTTTAATTAATTATATTTTATAAAAAATAAGAAGCTGTAAATTCTCAGATATTAAATTATCAACAAAAATATTTTTCAGAAGAGGTGTCAGAAAATAATAATAAATTCATCACATTAATTTATCAGCTCTTATACATTTTTTTCTAATAATAACTACAAATTTACCTGAGTTTGAAGTCTGCGTTCCAAGAAATCTTCAATTTTCAAACCCAAAACGTAATCAAGCTTCATACGGCCTTCGTCTAATACTCCAATACGAACCAACCTACGCAACAAAGCGTTACCTGGAAAATTCCATTAAATTATTCATATTGCACAGTAAAAAATGTCATACATAGATCTAGATAAAAATTAAACTTGTTTTACAAAACATAATTACACTCAGCAAGGTTTAAATTAGCAACATTGTCGGAATTTCAGACGAGAGGTGTCAGAATATAATTTGGTTTCATCATTGTAATACTTTGTAAACAAGAACAAACGGCCGGTCCGGTTGGACATAATGTTAATTATAAACAAACCTTCGAAAAGACGTTTTTGATCCTTCTCTTCGAGGGTCAACAGTTCACGAGCGGCTTTACGGATCTTGGCCAATGTGTATTTCACACGCCACACTTCACGTTTGTTCCTCAGACCATACTCTCCGATGATCTTCAATTCCTGGTCCAAACGTGCTTTCTCATACGGACGACGAGGTGTCACGTACGTTTTACTGTACACGGACGGGATGCGTCCGTTAACCATGTTGAATAGTTATCTGAAACTAAGTGAAGAAGTTCAATACACAAGACTATACATGTACAATTTGATGGACATGTTACCGCATTCTAAAATTCATACCCACGAGGTTATGAAAGGGACCGTGTGCAAGGGGGGGGGGCATGGTAATTTAAGACAAATACTTAACAAATATTTAATAACTAAATAGTAAATAGCGCAATCGACACATAGCGAATGTAGGCGATGTGTAGCCCCGAATCTTAGGACAAGGTATGTCGGTGAGCATTGAAAAAAATTATAAAAAGAGGAAAAGAATAAACCATAGTAAACGCAGAAACGAGGACGGCGGCCGATAAACTCGTGTCGGCGATTTCTCATCCGTTTCAATCGAGCGAGGAGTTGGCCGAAAAACATCGAAAATCGTACGAAACCACAGTCCATAGCCGGCAATTAACAGTTGAAGTCCAGAAAACCAAAAAAATGTAGACATAAAATACTTACAGCAAAAAGAAGAAAACTATCGGCAGGACTTGACCGTCGAACGTGCGCATCCAAAAAGAACAGAGCGAATGTAATGCCGAGTGAACGCCACCACGTCAGGCTCAGCGCTATTGAGTGATCGTTGACTGGTGGGAGGTGGCGCGGGGTGGTTTGCATTAAGCATATCGTTTTTAGGAGTGGGGAACTTGTCTACGTTGCAGCTACCAGTAACCAGTAAATAAAGACCGAAACCATGGTTGATGCGGACTGCTGGACTGTAAGTTGGTAGATGGAGAGGTGCTCCGTATCATATACATTTTGATATCATCTGTGATAACGTTATAACGCGGCTCTTAATATGTAAATTTGTATATTGTATTTATTTTTGTATTTTGAAATTTGAAACGATTGAAATACAGATTGCCCTGGAATCGAGAAACCGTTTAATATTGATAAAAAAAAAAAGAAACATACATTTACACTTATTTCTACCTATTATAGTTTCAAGTTTGTAACTAATAGCACATATTCTGTGCTAATAGCAACAATTTATAAACAAAAAAGATTTTGATTTTTATCATGAATCATAAAATACAAATTATGAAAAATCTTTTTTTAATTGAGCCTGTCGTACATTTTTTACGACAGTACTATAAAAATTCCAAGTCTCTAGCTATCATAGTTATTAGATTCTACTTATCCTGGCTTACTGATGAACGACAGACGAGTAATATTATGTAGGTATACAGATAAGTCATATTCTTGCTTTATTAAAGATTAATTATTAGTAAATATATTTGTAGAAATTGAATTGCAATAGAATACTAAAAGTAACTTTTTACAAAATACCTATGTATATTTAATCAAATATTATTATTGTTACTAGCTATAACATCCTAACAGGTTCGGATAAAAAGTTAGGGAACTGTGGGTCTGGCCATTTCAAGAGACCACTTATTAGGGTTAAAACTGGATTAGAAATAAACACCTTGTAACAAAAAAACACAATATGCTGACGACATGTTTAATATTGTTCTGTCAACGTATAATGTATATAATTTTTTTTTGTATGAAATTTATAATCTATACCTTAGTCACAACAAGTAAATGTGATACAGAAAACATAAGGTATCATAATAGGTATAGTAAATTAATAATATCAATAACAGTTTAAAATAGATTACATAGAACATGTTATGTTTGAGGAAAGCAGCCACCCATTAGTGACACCACAGAATACAGATATATATGTTACAGTTAAAGTGTTGAATCAGTTCGTTTATGAAATAACTAGGTAATTTATAAAATAAATAAAACTTGTAGGTAATGTATATAATTTATACTTTAACTAGTTATTTTATACATTCCCTGGTATCATTCCGTTAATGTGTCAAATTGTAAATAACAAAATATAATAAATATAGTTCTAACATTTTCATCAATTTAATATAACAAAATCAGATAAGATTGACCTAACCTTTTATTTTTTATTTATTCGATACCTAGTACCTACCTACACATTATAATTACAAGAGTGTTATTACAACTATACTCTCGATCCCAGTTCACAGTTCACAGTATGTTCAGAAAATTTGTTAGCTGTAGAAGTTCCAAATAAAAGTATTACATTAAGATCTGCGGCAACTGCGCAGTCACTGGGAACTGGTCAGGGTTTTTTTAAGTGAACTTGTACCAAAACATGTGGTACGAAGCGATATGTTTGTAGAAAAAAAAAGTATTCTGCAACTCTAAATGCCATAATAGCCTTACATGAACAAATATAAATAAATAATATAACTATAATTAATTCAGTAAAATAAAATATTTTAATATATAGGTACTTTAAATTTTAATGTATTTTATACTTTAACGGATATCAAACTGAAATTGTATATAATAACTAGATATTCTATGAAATAACTAGTAAAAGTACAATTTGCATGTATTGTTTCATACTTTAACTAACATTCGTAGGTAATTCATGAACTACCTAGTTATTTCATAAAATAACGGAATTCAACACTTTAACTGTAACATATATATTAAACTAGATAGCCGACTGTATAGAGCAGGGATGGCAAACCTTTTGAACACTGCGTGCCCAAAATTAGTAATAACCTTTTTATTTTTTTTAGAGCGTGCCATGAAAAAAAATATTAAAAATATAATATTTTGTTATACTATAATTTGATTGTATAATTAATGTATCAGTATAAAAAGGTTAGTTTAGGCTATTTTAATTTATAGGTCCTATAATATTATATATTATATACCTAATATATAAAAGTAAAAATTTTCGCGTGCCCACAAAATCTTTTCGCGTGTCATGGATTTGCCACCCCTGGTATAGAGTATGCATACAAATATGACGCCTAGTTGTCATATGCAGGTCTAGCAATGCTTACAAAATATGGATGTTATCAATTCTTTTCATATCGATTAATCAAAATTCGGTACTGGTCTAGTAGACCCCCGCCAAGAAAATAATCCCCTCGCCACTCAGGTTTAGTTGACGCCCGCCACTAAAATATTTCGTGTTTTCGATATTCTATTCAACAATCAATAATTTAATATTTAATTATAAAAAATATTCATATCAATATAAATTCATAAAAAAGTAAGAAAATAATTTAAATAATTTATCATACATTGATACATTCATTCGGCATTTATAAATAAATCGCAAAAAAATTATACACATCAGCTAATACATATAATAATGCAGAAAATAATACACTGGTGTCCATTTACTTTTCATACTCTCTCAACTCAAATATTTTTATTCAAAAAAAAATTGGTAAATTAAATATTTTTTAACATTTTTAATTAGTTTCTTTTTCTTCTTTAAATCCGTTATTTTCAGTTATCTTCTTAACTCGTCGTAATCGTGATAACTTTTCAAGTCAGCAATCTAGTTACCAAAAACGAACGAAACGAGAAAAAAAGAACCAATTATTAAGAAACAACGTGGTGCTTTTGCAATATTCTTTATAAAACAGAAAAAAAAATTAAATACGATTATGAGGAACAGGAATCTATTCTAACGGAAATCCAGAATTATATTTCGGATAATATTATGGATTATCATCGAACAATAAAATAAAATAAAAAAGGTGAACAATTATAGTTGATTCACAACAACTTGTTTTTATATTTTAATATTTCTTAATGTAAACATAAAGTATATAATTCAGAAATATTATAAATATGAATATAAACATAACTTAAGATCATTACATTAACTATAATTACTTTAATAACCAAGAAAAAAAAATGAAGGTTTTATTCTTCCCCATCATAGATGTATCTTTTTTTCAAACCATTGTGAACGAAAAAGTTATTAGTTATATTCAAATATTTTTCTTGGACCAGTAAAATAGTGAATCCTTATCAGCTGAAACTTTCAATACATTTATGATCCATGATGGGTATTAAAAAAACCTTAACAATGTAATTTGAATCAAGTTAAAATATTTATTACACAAATTTAATTTTTATCCTGGCTTAAAAAAAATTTACTAATCATTTACTAAATTGATAAAAAAACTTTTAAAATCTTGAGGCAAAACTTTATTCGCACAATACATGTCTACAGGATCATCAGTTAAATGTCCTGAAAAAAAATATTTTTGGATTTATTGATTATGTACATTAGATTGTCCTAAAACAAACTCGTAGAAGTCGAGTGCAAAGGTATACAAAGATACATTTTTGAGCTAAGCAAAACATTTTCAACATTTAATTATTTTTACAATGAAAAATAGACGATTTCAAGTATCATACATTAAAAAATAATAGTTAAATTTTACAATTTTGATAAATCTAACCAATACTTACCGAATACTACAGAAAATTTTTATCAAAATAAATTAAAAATACACAAATTAAATCAAAAATATATGATGCCCAACACAGTATATAAAAACTAACTCAGACTCGCTTTAATGTCCCTGGGATAACTTGTTCTTATTACGCAATTTATCTACTCGAGATAGGCACGATAGTGAGTTTATGCTCTCTTATAATGATGAACTACCAGAAATGTATGTTTCTAATTATCTAAAAAAAGATTTTCATTAAAAGACTAGTAGAACGAAAATGTATACTTGGCAGTTTAAGCCATTATTATAATACAGAAATGATATAAAATATCGTCTTCACACTGATAACTGACATATTTTAAGAAACTTGTTAAGAAATTATTTAAAATTCAGTCATTACAAGACAAACTGTCATTGTATATCTTGAATTTGATTAAACTAATATTATACAAACAAAAAACATTTTTGGATTCAATCTGTAAAGGTATATGGTATTATATTTTTGTGAGTTAGATTATTTACCACTACAAATTTAACTAAACAAACGATAGTACTTAAAAAATACTTCAATATTTAACATAAATTCCTGGACTTTTGAATATTTTCGGGAATAATCTACGAAAGATCCTCAATTATTTCATTAGCTTAATAAAAAATAAGCAACTTTTTAATTGTTTGAGGCTTCACCTCCTAATGGGTACCTACCTAAGCATCTCACTTTAGATAGCCTGGGCAAGTTACTTATAATTTTTTACTGATTTAATTTATATTGATAGAAAATATTTTAAAAAGCTTAAAGTTAACAGTTATCCTAATTTTATTTTAAACTTATTTAAGTTAAAAGTTATTTGAAAACTTAGAGTCAACTTAAGTTAAGTTAAATATTTATTTTTTAATATATAAGAAGCTAGTTATATGGTTTAAAACAATAAAAAGTAAATGTTTATGCAATACATTTCATCAATAATAAGTATATTATATTTATTATTTAATTATTTATAAACGACCGAAATTGGATTTGATTACAATTAACTCGTTATTTATTAAGTTTATATCAATAAAAATCAGTAAGTTCAAAATTAAGTTAATGAAAATGAAATTTTAAAAAGTTATAATCAACTTAACTTTAACTTTCTAACTCGTTTGTGCCCTGCAGGCTTGCATTTTAGAATACTTTTAAGAAATAAAAACCATAAGACTAAAACTTTTTACAAAATACAAATATTTACTTACTTGGATTGTCTGGAAAAAAATATCAGAAAAAAGTTATAATACATTTTTGAAGTATCAGAAAAAAATTATAATACATTTTTGAAGTATCCAATTTTTATC